TGGACCTCAGCCTCCTACCAGATGGAAGGGGCACAAACAGTTTTTGTCCAGGGTGAGAGGGGTCGGCTACAATCTTCCTTGCTCGCTTCAGGGTCCTTGAAGCGAACAAGTCCTGGAGGGACGGCAGATTGGAGCCAATCACCCTCTCAGCAGAGCGGATGATGCGTTGCAGCCTGCCCTTGTCCTTGGCAGTGGCTGCAGTATTCCAGACTGTGATGGAGGAGCAGAGGATGGACTCAATGATGGCTGTGTAGAAATGCACCATCATTGTCTTTGGCAGGTTGAATTTCTTCAGCTGCCTCAGGAAGTACATCCTCTGCTGAGCCTTTTTAGTGATGGAGCTGATGTTCAGCTCCCACTTGAGGTCCTGGGACATGATGGTGCCCAGGAAGCGGAAGGACTCCACCACGTCGACGGGAGAGTCACACAGGGTGATAGGGACATGTGGGGCTGCAATCTTCCGGAAATCCACAACCATCTCCACTGTCTTTCGAGCGTTGAGCTCCAAGTTGTTCAGACCACACCAGGTCACCAGATGGTCAGTCTCCCACCTGTAGGCGGACTCATCCCCACCAGAGATGAGTTCAATGAGGGTGGTGTCATCCGCGAACTTCAGGAGCTTGACGGACTGGTGACTGGAGGTTCAGCTGTTGGTGTACAGGGAGAAGAGCAGAGGGGAAAGAACGCAGCCTTGGGGGGAACCGGTGCTGATGGTCCGGGAGGCTGAGACGTGTTTTCCCAGCTTGACGTGCTGCTTCCTGTCAGACAGGAAGTCTGTGATCCACTTGCAGGTGGAGTTGGGCACGTGCAGCTGGGAGAGCTTGTCCTGCAGCAAAGACGGGATGATGGTGTTAAAGGCAGAGCTGAAGTCCACAAACAGGATCCTGGCGTAGGTTCCTGGGGAGTCCAGATGCTGGAGGATGAAATGAAGGGCCAAGTTAACTGCGTCGTCAACAGACCTGTTGGCTCTGTAGGCGAACTGCAGGGGGTCCAGGAGTGGGTCAGTGAGGGTTTTAAGGTGAGACAGGAAAAGGCGCTCAAAAGACTTCATGACCACAGAGGTCAGGGCGACGGGCCTGTAGTCATTAGGTCCTGTGATCCTTGTTTTTTTGGGGACGGGGATGATGGTGGAGGCCTTGAAGCAGGCTGGTACGTGGCATGTCTCCAGGGAGGTGTTGAAGATGTCTGTAAACACCGGAGACAGCTGATCGGCACAATGCTTCAGGGTGGAGGGGGAGACAGAGTCTGGGCCGGCTGCTTTGCGGGAGTTTTGTTTTTTAAAAAGCCTGTTGACCTGGATAGAGAGAGTCGTCACTGGGGAGGGGGTGGGGGGGACACTGTGATGGGTGATACAGAGGCGTGGGCCCCTGCTGGGATGGGGGAGGGGGACCTGGTGGTCTGGGGCTGGTTGATGGAGCTGTGGGGGATGGAGTCAGGGCTGTCCCATTGTCCATCAAAGCGACAGTAGAACTCGTTCAGCTCGTCTGCCAGGCAGAGGTCGTTCATGGAGTGGGGGGTTTTTGGCTTGTAGTTGGTAATCTGTCTGAGACCTCTCCAGACAGAAGCAGAGTCATTGGCTGAGAGCTGGTGTTGCAGTTTCTCAGAGTACAGTCGTTTAGCATCTCTCACCGCCTTACTAAACCTGTACTTTGACTCTTTGTACAAGTCCTTGTCCCCACTCCTAAAAGCCTGATCCTTTTGCAGTCTTAGCTGTCTGAGTTCTGCTGTAAACCAGGGTATGTCGTTGTTGTAACACACCCTGGTGCTTGATGGAACACAGCTGTCCTCACAGAAGCTGATATATGAAGTCACAGCCAGCCTCTGTGTACTCATCCAGACTGTTGGTAGCAGTCCTGAATACATCCCAGTCTGTGCAGTTGAAGCACACCCAAAGATCCTCCATAGCTTCACTGGTCCACTTCTTGAATTTGCTCACCACAGGTTTGCAGAGCTTTAATTTCTGCCTGTAAGCAGGAATCAGATGGACCATTACGTGGTCAGAGAGACCCAGTGCAGCACGAGGGACGGCGTGATAGGCCCTGCTGATTGTGGTGTAACAGTGGTCCAGAATTTAATAAACTGTCTGTATTTGGGGAGTTCATGGTTGAGGTTTCCTTTGTTAAAGTAACCAAGGACAATAACTAGAGAGTCCGGGTAGGTCCGCTCCACACACAGTATCTGGTCGGCGAGCGCGCGCTGTGCCTCCTGCACTTTGCCCTGCGGCGGCATGTAAACACCGACCAGTATAAATGAAGCGAACTCACGGGGGGAGTAGAAGGGTTTGCAGTTAATGATAAAATATTCCAGGAGAACAGTGCTGGAGAATCACTGTCACATCGTTGCACCAGCCACTGTTGGAGTAGAAACAGATTCCTCCACCCTTCGATTTGCCGGAGAGCTCCGTATCGCGGTCCGCTCTGAACAGCTGGAAGCCAGCCAGCTGGAGCGCAGAGTCCGGTATGGATCCACAGAGCCAGGTCTCAGTGAAGCACAAAACGGAGGATGAAGAAAAGTCTCTGTCTCTCCTCACCAGTAGCTGAAGTTCGTCCAGTTTGTTGCACAGTGAGCGGACGTTGGAGAGAAATATGCCCGGCAGCGGTGTGCGGAATCCACGTGTGTGAAGACGCACGAGCACGCCGGCCCGTTTCCCTCTCCTACGGCGTCTCACTGCATGGGCTAAGGTGAGAGCACCTTTCACTAGAATGTCCAGTAATTCCACAGAAGTTAGCAGAAAAGTTGGGACTAAGTCCGCTGTAGTTGTAGCCTACCCCTGATGTTCATGAGCTCATCTCTGGTGAAAGAGCTCCGGGTATCGCAGCATAAAACTGAATTAACGACGAAAACAACACAAAACAATGCGCACCAACACGTCGAGGCAGCCGTCCGCGGCGCCATCTTGATGTGATAAATCAAATACATTTTAATACTCCAGATCTTTTTAGTTATTATCTACAGTTATCAGATAAACACTATAAAAAGAAAGTGATGAGGTATTTGTTGTACTGTAGTGCAGTTGTCATCTGATCATGTATTGATCAGGACATGCTTTCATATTGTGGAATCGTCCCTCTGCTCCACAGCTTCCTCGTGCTGGTTTTATGTCTCGTGCTGTCCTCTAGTGACCTCTGGTGAACCCAGCAGTGTGCAGTGATGTGAATGAGGTCTCGAAATACTGATTCATGAGGACAGCGTGGAGGACATTCATTTTGCTTGTGTACCTCAGAATATACACTGCTCAAAAAAATAAAGGGAACACTTAAGCAACACATCCTAGATCTGAATGAATGAAATAGTCGTATTAAATACTTTGTTCTTTACATAGTTGAATGTGCTGACAACAAAATCACACAAAAATTATCAATGAAAATGAAATTTATTAACCCATGGAGGTCTGGATTTGGAGTCACACTCAAAATTGAAGTGGAAAAACACACTACAGGCTGATCCAACTTTGATGTAATGTCCTTAAAACAAGTCCAAATGAGGCCCAGTAGTGTGTGTGGCCTCCACGTGCCTGTATGACCTCCCTACAACGCCTGGGCATGCTACTGATGAGGTGGCGGATGGTCTCCTGAGGGATCTCCTCCCAGACCTGGACTAAAGCATCCGCCAACTCCTGGACAGTCTGTGGTGCAACGTGGCGTTGGTGGATGGAGCGAGACATGATGTCCCAGATGTGCTCAATTGGATTCAGGTCTGGGGAACGGGCAGGCCAGTCCATAGCATCAATGCCTTCGTCTTGCAGGAACTGCTGACACACTCCAGCCACATGAGGTCTAGCATTGGCATATGGTCTCACAAGGGGTCTGAGGATCTCATCTCGGTACCTAATGGCAGTCAGGCTACCTCTGGCGAGCACACGGAGGGATGTGCGGCCCTCCAAAGAAATGCCACCCCACACCATTACTGACCCACCGCCAAACCGGTCATGCTGGAGGATGTTGCAGGCAGCAGAACGTTCTCCACGGCGTCTCCAGACTCTGTCACGTCTGTCACATGTGCTCAGTGGAACCTGCTTTCATCTGTGAAGAGCACAGGGCGCCAGTGGCGAAGTTGCCAATCTTGGTGTTCTCTGGCAAATGCCAAACGTCCTGCCCGGTGTTGGGCTGTAAGCACAACCCCCACCTGTGGACGTCGGGCCCTCATACCACCCTCATGGAGACTGTTTCTGACCGTTTGAGCAGACATATGCACATTTGTGGCCTGCTGGAGGTCATTTTGCAGGGCTCTGGCAGTGCTCCTGCTGTTCCTCCTTGCACAAAGGTGGAGGTAGCGGTCCTGCTGCTGGGTTGTTGCCCTCCTACGGCCTCCTCCACGTCTCCTGATGTACTGGCCTGTCTCCTGGTAGCGCCTCCATGCTCTGGACACTACGCTGACAGACACCGCAAACCTTCTCGCCACAGCTCGCATTGATGTGCCATCCTGGATGAGCTGCACTACCTGAGCCACTTGTGTGGGTTGTAGACTCCGTCTCATGCTACCACTAGAGTGAAAGCACCACCAGCATTCAAAAGTGACCAAAACTTCAGCCAGAAAGCATAGGAACTGAGAAGTGGTCTGTGGTCACCACCTGCAGAACCACTCCTTTATTGGGGGTGTCTGTCTTGCTAATTGCCTATAATTTCCACCTGTTGTCTATCCCATTTGCACAACAGCATGTGAAATTGATTGTCAGTGTTGCTTCCTAAGTGGGCAGTTTGATTTCACAGAAGTGTGATTGACTTGGAGTTACATTGTGTTGTTTAAGTGTTCCCTTTATTTTTTTTGAGCAGTGTATATTCATAGACAGAAAACAATCCAAAGTGATTGATGGCTGGTATCTGACATTTGAAATATGCATTAAAAGGCTAAATTAAATAACAAAAATAAAAACAGACAACTTTTGTAATTACAAAGTGCTTTAAAGTAGATTCAAAAAACTTAAAGCAGAAACAAACATTTAAAACAGCATATACACAGTATATATATAGATATATATATATACACACACACACACAGTATAAACAGATTTCAGATCAGATAATATAACTCATAATTGCGATTACATAGAGTTGCTATGGCAGCATGGGTAAACAACACAGTGAAGGTAGGCTGCTAGTTACCACGGCAACAGGTAAACGAAGAGCTCAGCGACACAGGAGAGAAAATGAAGGAAGGAGCAGACGAGGAGAAACTGGAGGTTTCCTCAGAGGAGGAGGCGGCTCTCTCCGCTGCTTCCAGAGGGACACGTGCACCGTCCAAACTACACACTGTCCCCAAGATCCCGGAGGTGGTGGACGACTTCCTGAGGAACTTCCTCCGGAGGGCCGGTCTGAGCCGCACTCTGAACCTCTTTGAGGCAGAGTGGTACGGCTCGGCGCAGAAACTCCGGACTGAAGCTCCGAGGACGGCGTGGACGGGACGGGACTTCATGCCCGATGCTCTCACACACGGGCAGCTGCTCCGGAGTGAGCTGGAGACGGTCCGCGCGGAGACGGACCTGCTCCAACGGGACGTGCTGGTGGCAGTGGAGAGCCTGGTGAGGACGCAGAGGGAGAGGGACTTCCACCGGCTCCAGTACCGACGAGTCGCTGAGGAGAAGAACCGGCTCATCGAGGACTTCAAACAGCTGAAGGAACACCTGGAGTCCTATGAGCCGGCGCGGAGGCAGCTGGAGGACAAATATCAAGCAGCTCTGAGCCGAAAAACGCTCATCAGTTTGGAAAAGGACCGAGTTCAAAACACCACCGACGCTAGACTGAATGAGGAGAAAGCCCTCATCAAGAGAGAGAGCAGCATCAAGAGGAGCGACAGCGCAGATAAATCCCCAGCCAACAGCACCGTGACCAGACACCCAGAGGACACACAGTTCCCTGTCTGCAGCAGGCTGCTGGACCCTCAGCGGGCTCAGGGGGCATTTGAAAAAAGGAAAAGCCCCAATTCCTTCAGCCTGTCCTACTCCTTCAGAGCCCATAAGCTTCCCATCAGCTGCATTGACCTCCATCCACGAAAACTGATCCTCGCCACCGCCAGTGATGACCGCAGCTGGAGGCTGTGGGAGCTGCTACCCAACGGAGAGAAGGTGAGAGGAAGAAGTTCATTCAAAGCTGGGAGGGAGATGAGATAAGATCACATATGAAATGAGTTTAGATGATAGAATCACATATGATTTATGAGATGAGATAGAATCACTGTGATATGAGATGAGATTAGATGAGTTTGCACAAGAGATGAGATAATATTGGATGGGATGACATTTGAGATGAGACAAGAAACCAAGATAAATCAAACTACCTTCATATAGTTTGTTCTACTTAATTCCCTGTTTTATTGATTATAAAATAATCTAATTTGAATATCTATACATTGTCCGTGTGTAGCATGGAGGGGTTTTAACTGCATTTCATTGTGCAATCCTGTACTGTATAATGACAATACAATTTTATGAATAATGATGAGAATCAATGTTGAGAGATCTTTTAAAAAGCAAACCATGACATAAGATGAGACATAAGAGACGGAAATGTCCAATGAAATGTGATTTTACATCGGTGTCAAAATTAGCTGTTAAATGATTTGATATGGAACCTTTTTTAAACTAGGAATCATTCGTTGAGATAAAACAATGAGATGAGATAATACACTAAAATGAGGTACGAGATGAGACAAAATATCTAATAAGATGATATACCAGACAATATGCTATTAAGATGAAACAAGACAAACTGATTCAAAAACTAGAGAGCATTATTTATAAGGTGAGTCAGTCAAATTGAGAGCAGGCGAGATACGACTCGAGATGACATGAGACAAGAACCGGATGAAATGTGATGAGATCAAACCAGCGGAGATACCATGAGATTAGTTGGGAAATGAGATAAGATGAGATCTAAATCAGATAAATAATATCAAATTAGAAACAGCAGACTAGAGAGTAGATTTACTACGACATGAAATGGAAATGAGAAGGAATTAAGACAAGTTGAGATATGAGATGACAGGATGAGACAAAATGAGAGAAAGAAGATCAGGGAGGAATCGTCATGAGGTGAAATCCGTCACGTTGAGATAACTGAGACAAACCGTAGGATTAGATACACTGATAGCTCACACATCACAGGCGCTAAAAGAAACTGACCAACAAGAGAACAAGCAGAATGACACGACAGGAAGACGTCACAATGAGACGCAGTGAAGTGAAACGATAAGATAATAAACTAAATGTCGTAAGATGAGAAAAAAGAGAGAGAAGTCAATGAAATCCTATTGTGTGTTGGGCTATGTACTGAAATGTAATGTGTGTTGCCAGGTTGGTCAGATGGTGCTGACGGGTGAGGGTCACTCGGATTGGCTGTCTGGCTGCAGCTTTCACCCTGATGGAGCAAAACTGGCAACGACCAGCGGAGACTCTACGGTAAGATTATCTTAGTGTAAAGGTTAAAGGTCAACCCGGCATCATTTTAGTCCCCCCGCAGGTGCGGCTCTGGGATTTCTCCCGTGGGTGCTGCGTGTTGTCGCTGCCCGGTCATGGCCAGCCCACATGGGGTTGCACCTTCCACTCCTGTGGTCACTTCCTGGCCTCCTGCTCCGCCGACCGAACCGCCAAGCTGTGGGACCTGAACAGCCAGCGCTGCCGGCTCACGCTGCGGCGCCACGCGGCCTCCGTCAACAGCGTCTGCTTCCTGCCCTCCTCCGACCTGCTCCTCACGTGCTCGGCTGACAAAACCCTCGCCACGTGGGACGCCAGACTGGGCGTCTGCACCGCCGACTTCCATGGACACCAGCACCCCTGCAACCACGCCGCCTTCAGCCCGGCGGGTGACGTCGTGGCCTCCTGCGACACGCGAGGCGTCGTCAACCTGTGGGACATCAGGAAACCCGCGTTGGCGACGGCAACGGTCGACGGTGGGCCGATGGCCGCCAACCAGGTGGCGTTCAGCCCGTCGGGGAAGACGCTGGCCGTGGCCAGCACCGACGGTCTGGTCAGGGTGGTGGAGGTGGATACCGGCGTGGCGAGCAGCTTGTCGGGACACGGCGACGGCGTGCAGAGCGTGACGTTCGACCACGAGGGGGAGACGGTGATGTCAGCGGGGAGCGACGGGGTGATTATCGTTTGGGCGGGAAGAGAAAACCTGAAGTGAAACCAGCTGATGATGGTCAGAGTTCACCTGAAGTGTTTGTTTTATTGTGGGGACCTAAATGTTTGATACTAGAACCTAAGTTTCAGAATTCATAGCTTTCATACTTTAATAAATAAACGTTTAAAAAAAACTGTACCATGAAAACCTTGAATAGAAGCAAAGATTCCTGAATGTTAAAGGTTGTCTTCACACAAGCAGCAGTTTAAGATCTTTGACCTTATTATAATTTAAATTAGGAACTATTTTATCAAAGAATAAACAAGATTATGAATCCAATTATGAATCTTTTTTACTCGTAAAGTATTGAGGTTTGATACCCAGCTCCTGTCGACATAAGGACTTTTCTAATGATCACAGATTTCTGTTGGATCTTGACTTCTGAGGAAATTCACAACAATTAAAACATCTGTTTGGCACCATATAGTGTTTATGTCAACCATGTGGACTCACACATGGAATTTAGCAAAAACTTGAAATTTGTAATATTGTCACAACAGAAAGAAGCTTCAGTTGTCATGTTATAAAAAGTTGAGAATCAATCAAAGGGGCCCTCCACAGATTTTACACATGAAGTGCAGTTTTTACCAAACAGGGAGGTTCACACAAAAAGATGCTGGAGGGAAATAAAAAGTGCAGAATCCAGTGCTTATGGAGCTTGACTCATTCTGGGGACTCAGGGACAGGAACTCTCTGCTGCTTTCACAAGTATCCCAGCTTTATAGAATCTACACTAAAAGTCACAGGAGATGCATGTCCTCTTTGGGATCCCACTAATTCTACACACAACTTTCAACACGCTTCAATGAGGTTTGATAAATATATATATATTTGTCAGTTTGGAATGTTTTTAAAAGATATCAGGTTTAAGGAAAGCTGTGAAAGAGGAATGCTCCTTATAAAAATGACTTGACACCATGACGGAATTAAACCAAGAAATGTTTTAATGTGAACCGTTTGAGGACAAACCGTCTCAGACAGACCAGCTGGAGACATTCCAAGAATAAAAGCACAGATCTGTTACAAAACATACATGTTTTCATGTTCAGGTCACCTGTCTGCCTGCATGCTGATTTGGCACTTTAATGGTTCGGACTGTGAAGCAAGACAGAAAACACTGACAGTGTGCCTTCTGAAAGAGAAAAAGTGATACAAATACGAATGAATCAATGAACTGTCGTCCTGTTTCCCGTCCAAATCATACAGGGTAAGTTCATTACCTGGTTGAGGTTCATCCTGAGGTCACTTTTGTTACCAAATCAAAGTGTTTCTGTTGCGTTCAATCATATGGGATGGATGGTAGAGATGGAAAGATTCCGTGTTCACAACCTGTTTCTCAGGCTCATCTGTATTAATAAGCTCCACACTGGACATATATAAGCTTTTTCCACTCGTAATAATAAATCCGACAATTTGCTTTTAATATTGCTTTTAAAATTGAGGTGGTGGTAACTCCCACACAATGAACGCAGCATGATTTGTATCGTAGGGGCCATTTAGGACATCTCAGACTCAGCTCTTCATTGTTACACTTTCCATCAGGTTGGACTGAAGTGGACTGAAGGCTCAAAGCTCCAGTTGGTAACTTTTTGCAAATATAATAAAGTTCTAGAACTGTTATTTAATATTTTTTTATAAAATCATCGCTTGTGAATTTCAAACAAACTAGGCAGCGCGGATCAAATAAAAATAAATATAAACATGTCTTAACCCATTTTTCATTGAGCTAAACCGGCTCATTACATCAGTGTGACATGAAGAACTTTGCCTAAATTAATAACGGTGTACTAACAGAAGTTCCCTCATTTAGATCACAACATCATTGTTGAGGTTCAACATCGGACGTTTAACATGTGATGTTTTAGGTTTCAGTCTGGGAATATTTTAAAACTTTAGTGGGTAGCATTTATCATTCTAATATGGCCACTAATGTGTAGCTTAGTAGCCAACATGCTGAGGTTAAGCTTGTAAGATTGAGCGTTTAGCATGAAAACATGCTAAAATAAACAAGTCACATTTTGCATTACAATGTAGAAATGCTGATGTTAGCATATTAATATGGCTAAAGTTACAGTTGACATGTTAACATTAGTATTTTAACATGTTTAGCAAGTTAGCTAGGTTTACTATATTGCATGTCTGGTTGACAGCATGCTAACACATTGTGACACTGTTTTCTCCAGAGTCTTGCTGCTAGCCTGGCTACAAATAGATACATTTATCATTTAAATTAAATTGTCAGTGCAGTAACAAACCACTAGACATTATATCCCTCATTCATATTGGCACATTTACATATTAAGTTGACACTTTTAGTGTCTCAGCAGCTGAACAGATGCTTGCAATAACTAAAAAGATGTTAATATTTGTGTCCGTCTTGTCATTTCTTCCCTTACATCGAGTGTCCTCAACATTGCAGAGCTTCATTCTCATCCAGAATTTAATGAGCAGCAGTGTGAGATTTTTTCATCCAAATAGAAATGTAAAAAAGAAGGATGTTAGCAACTTAGCTATTGAAACCATCCTCTAATCTAACAAGAGGATTTTCCAAAAGGTCAGACTGCTCTTTAATACACATTTCATGGATTTCCAGAAGAGTCTGGTTTGGTCTCTGTGTTATTGTCCAAAAAAATTACACCTTTTCCTTTAAAATACATATCCAGAGCAGACCATCTAGAATCATCTGCTGTTTCCTGGTGCTGCTGGACACGGTGACGTGAGGACTGACGGATGGAGACACTGACAGGAAGTCTCTTGCTCTGGTGAACAGGCCGGTAGCTTCAGGAGGGTTTCTGCTGACTACAGATGAGTCCGTCAGCAGAGGAAGAAGAGTAGCGTCCTTCATCTTCGTCCCTCTCCCCCTCTTCCTCTGGGTGTTTCTCTCTGGGTTCTTCCACCAACACCTTCAGACGGCTCAGGTGATGCATCGCTCTGAGGAGGGAAACATTCGTCAAAAATATTGCTCTGAACTGACAACTGTGTGTGTGTGTGTGTGTGTGTGTGAGAGTGAGTGAACACTTCAGGTACAAACTACTTCATCTTCAGGAGCGCACAGAGCAGCATCTGGACGGCATACAGCACAGAACCACAGAGTTCTCTTGTAGCTCATCAAAGAAGCCAAGCATTTTCGATTTCATAACTTAATAATTAGCTGTGACGACTGAGGCTGTATATAATGTGGTGGCAATCCCTTTAAAATATGTTGAGCTATTTCACAGGATGAGGACAACAGCACAGTAACTCACATGATGATCCTGATGCGTTAGTGTCAGTTACCTCTGTAGCGACGGTCCACCAGGAAATCTCTCCAGCTCCGCATCACCTTCAGGCCTCTGGAACACAAACAACTCCATGTGACCTGAAACATCGTCTACATACAGCACACAACATGCAACAGTACAAGGTGACTAGGTCCGTTTACTGTCACTCTACAACACACGGTTGAGAACCAAATGTGAGTTACAGTCCTTTTATGGTACACAAGCAGGAAATACAACAAAAACTAAATATATAGATTTCTTTATGATAGAGTACAGAGGATGAGTTAACAGCCAGAGGAAAGAAGCTGTTCTGAAGTCTGCTGGTTCATCAGCTGATACTTCTGTATCTCTCTACAGATAGCAGCAGGTGAACAGGTTGTGTCTCGGTGGGTTTAGTCGTTTAATATCCTTTGAGCTCTTCTCAGGCTCCTCTTCTCACCAATATCACTGATGCTCAGTAGACCAGTGATGTTCCTGGTGGTTTCTATCACCTGCTGTAGAGCCTCCTGTCCTGGAACATCACATGTTAGTTTGTCATGTCTCCAGTCAGGAAGCTTTCTATTGTTCCTTTGTAAAAAGGTTAAAAATAACTTGGCACAGGAATTTAGCCTTCTTAAGTTTCCTAAAGAAACACAGCTGTTTATGAGCTTTCTTCACCAGGATGGAGATGTGTGAGGACCATGTCAGCTTGTTTGTGATGATGCTGGTTCCCAGGAACTTAAAGCTGTTAACTTGCTCCACCTCAGCTCCATTGATGTAGACAGGGATGCATCTTCGCCATTTCTCTCTAAAATCAGCTCCTTTGTTTTACTGACATTGAGCAGCAGGTTGTTCTCTGAGCACCACTCTGCCAGGTTGTCATCTTTGAAGAATGATCCAATAGTTCCCAGTGTTATTGAAATGCTCATCCCTCAGCTGAGTGGAGGGCTGTGGAGATGCATCCTCTGTGGATCTGTTGGTTCTGTATGAGTTAGGTTTGTTCTAGATAGGCCACCGAAGGTTTTCCAGAACAATATGCGATCAGGATTAATGCTTTCTCGTTTGCGGGGGGGAATAAGCGACTAGCATACTCTGTTTTGGTAATATCTCACTACAACTGGACTCCCAATACCATAGAAAGCAGTCAAACAGACCTATAATACTGCTGAACCAGCTGCCATAACAAAACAAAGAAGGTATTAGCTGAGTATCAGCCAACATGGTGAAAAAAAAAAAAATAATGATTGGGGGCATCCCTCCTGTTTCCTCAAAACACAGCCGAATGTTGAGTCCTGAGGTGTGTTCATACCTGCTTCACTGGAGCCTCCATCTTAGCTACCCGTGCATGTTGTTGTCGCTGAAGCTCCGCCTCCACTGCCTGCAGTCTGAACAGCATCTGTTTCAGAGCCTCCACTGGACCAGGCTGCTTAAAGATGCTGTTACCGTGGAGACCGGAGACCCGAGCCTGGGGGACACAGAAAGGGGGGGGATCATTTGGAGAGTCATAGGAACCATGTGTATGGAGTAGAGAGAGTGGGACTGGTTGTGCAGTGGATCATTAAACAGGTAAGGAGTGGACCAGGACACACAGGGTACATCCCAAGTCTCTTAATTGTCGTTTCCTCGCTCCTCACATGGTTTCCTCCATGCATCCCTGGAAGGACTAAGGCGCAAGGAAAGGACCCAAGTGAGGGAAACGGGGATGCAATTAAGAGACTTGAGAAGTACCCACAGACTCCTACCTGAGCTCCTCGATGGGGCGGAGCCTCTGTGATGCTCCCTGATGCTGCCTCTGAGTCCCTGCAGGTACAACATACAATCCTGTATCATTCAGTGTGTGGTTCAGGCACGGTGCAGCAGAGCTAAGGATAAAGGGAGTGTGAGTAACTCTTACCAAGCGAAGGGACGACGGTGAGAAGAACAGAGCAGCAGCTCCTCTGTGTTCACTGGACTGACTGCTTCTTCCACACAATCAGTAGGACTGACTACAACAACAACAACAGTTATTCAATGAGAAAAGGCAGCATTGTGTGGACTAAATATGTGCTCAACCTTTTTGATATGGTGATAAAGATTTTACTGTTTCCGTCTGTGTGATTGTGGCGGATCACAACAATCGTCGCATCAAGACACAACAGACATCTGTTTGTGCATCCTGCCCTCAGCTGCTTCACAGTAATGCACTGTTTACATCCTTTCATTCACTGTAATCCTGAGTGAAAATGTTAGTTTTTTTTGTGGAAATGGCATTCCATAGCTAGATGTGTGCGACAAATTGATAAGATCACAGACTTTCTTCAACCGGCCCCATGCCGTCAACAACCCTGAAGAGCATCAGAAACGTGTAGGAGCAAACACAAGCAGCTCAAACTGGCCAATCACAGCCTTTTGCTATCTCCGTGCGGTATCTCTGCAGCTGACGCCACAGTGTTTGAGCCACATTTAACAGCAAACTCTTACACAACTCGTGCAGTATAATCAGAGTCTTATTTATCCATTTGTGTGCTCGCTACTCCCCGAACACATGCATCTTCAAAAACGTCTGCACTAACAGGACGAGTAGCGAGCCTGCACAGGAGTGAGACCGTTTCTGTGGAGGTGTTAGAAATAGTCAGGTTTCAGTGAGGATGCGTTCATGAAGTAGTGCACATACAACTGGATGAAGAAGACCTGGAGTTTGTGAAAAGGATGTTTTGATGTAGTTTTGCTGGATTTAAACGCGGTCCCCATTGACGTAAATCCATCAAGACTTTTCTCCATTAACCGTGGAGGCGTGAGAGAAAAACTACGTTTTCTACAAGAACACAGGGTGAGTAACTGATGTACATATGGCCATTTTGGCAGTGACGTATTCCTTTAGTGCAGAGCTGTAAATCAAGCTTCGGGGGTGTTCTTTCCTGTACAACAGCAACACACAAATTTGGACTGTGGACAGGGACTTTTGTTGCACGTCTCTCTTTGTATATAGTATGATGGTTCCCGTCTAATAAAAGGGAAAATGGCAAACAAATATATTAATAAAACTAGTGAAAGCCACACAGTGATGCATCTTTCCTTCCTCACATCACCTGGGCTAGAGGGTTGGTACTTTAACTAGTTGCTAAATATGCTGGTCCTGAACTGTGTTAATTGTTTTGCTTCACAGAGAACCAGTCGATTGAGAGCAATGAGCAGCTCCTCTGAACATGTTAATGCTGCAAAGAGACACATCAGGTTGATCAGAGATTAAGAGAAAAACATTTCTGTTTCTGAGGATTGATGTTGTTTCCCGTGGCAACACTGTTGTCATGCTAATTTTTTCAGTTATAAATCGGAAACTGGTCTAAATATGTAGAGCACACACACATAACAAGTAAACTGATTTGTTTGTGTTATCTGAGCTGTGTAAATGATAACTCATTAGCAATAGCATTAGCATTAGCATCGCTGCTTTCAACAGGAGGAGAAACTGGTCTGACCTGGATCTGCAGGACCGTCTGCTTCTCCAGAGCTGTGAGACAGGCTGTTCAACACCTGGTCGGCCTTCTGGATCAGAGACTCCATCCTGTTGTCTGGCAGGAGGAAACACACATTGCTTTAGAACAGTGCTTCTTAAAAGGGGGTACTAGTACCCAACAGTGTACTGAGGAGTACTGCAGGGGGATGAGAGAGTTTTTTTTACAAATGTTAATTTAAAAAGATATCAGTCATGCATTTGATAAACCCATGTTATATAAAATATTTCTATTTATTTTGTAAACGGTCAACATTTGTTTTCCTTACAGAAATGATCCACTGGGAAGGTGGTACAATATTGAATAAAAGACTGAGAACCACACGTCTGTAACACACCTGAGATAGTGTTACATCAAGAAGCTTCTCACCTCTGAACAGAGTCTCCATGACGTCAGAGCTGTGTCTCTCTGCGGCGAGGACAGAAATCTGTTCAGCAAACTGAAGCCTGAGGTCTCTGAGAGTCCGCTGGTCAACCTGATCTCTCTCTTTCACACACACACACACACACACACACACACACACACACACACACACACACACACACACACACACACACACACACACACACACACTAACATAACTGGGTATGGACCATTCTGCCATCCTTTTTCCTGTCAGATACAGTTTAACGTGAGCTGCTGATGGTATTGACAGATGCGGTTCTCTCACCTGATCAGGTGTCTGGTCGGGATCATCAACCTCCAGCTCTGCCACCCAGGATGGAGCCTTGTTTCTGGGAGCTGCAGGCGGAAGAACACCTGGAAGAGCGATAGCAGAAAAGCATGATTATGTGATGCTAAAGATTCCACATCAGACATCATTTCTACATGGTGTTTATCTGAATATTAAGATTATTATCTTGGTAATTATGAGAGAAGTTTTCATGGAAAAAAAATAATCTGCCATTTTTCTGAATTAACTAAATACTTTAAAATCCAGATTCCAGATCTCATTTTCCTGAGAGCTGAATTTCATGGAAGCAAACATGTCCCACATGTTTAGTTTAAAAGAACTTTTCTCAGAATTTCTATCTCGTTAATATATTTTTTAATAAAAGGGAGTCCATTGTGTTTCCTGAATATTCACATTATGCATTTATTTTTAAATTCTAATCCATTGTTATTATACAGCAGACCAGAGCCGCTTCTCAGTCCTAGTCCACATTGGGGCTCTTGATGGCTACACAAATGATTGAGCTAAAAGAACGAGACTGAGGCGGTTCGGCTGCATAGCTCACATACCATCAACACTGTGTTTCACGTTACAAAATAAAAGTCTAATTTTACATGTTCACGTGTCGTTACTACTGTCATTTTGTTTTCCATTAAATGATATCTACTGTTCCCACACATAAACCACTAGCTAAGATATTAGACACCACCAGTGAATGTGGGCAGACCTCAAGAGGTGTTGTGAGACATTACCCAGCAGCAGAGAGCCCCTCAGAGGTACCTGAGGACTTTGATAACTGGTGGTTGTGTAATTAAAATGCTATTCGGCTGAACAGGAAGAATCAAACAAAAGCATTTTTCTGTTTAAAGTGATACATTGTTTGTTTAAATTGAGATGAGGTAATAGCTCAAAGGATTATAATAAAAGATTGATAGTTAATCTAACAAAAATGAATAAAGACAAAATAGAGGCTTTTAGATTTTGTATATTCTACCATGTATAAATATAACTAAAGTGTGCTAATTACACTGACTCATCACAGTGATTCCACAACAACCTGCATGTTCTCATCCAAAGTCATAAATATATTAACAGACATTAAAGCGAGCCATTTGTATCCAACAATAACTTCATGTCTGTGGTTCAAAGTAACGTGTCTTGGTCATGATGGATTGGATTCTTGTGATTCTTTGTATTACTGTGTTCTGTACATGATGTATGTACAGAACACATTGTTGTACATTTGGTTTCAAACTGTTATCTTCCTTTTGTATATTGTGCACCCGACTGCAAATCCAAAATTCCTCGTATGGGATAATAGAATGACTGGACTGAACAGATGATCCAGCTAACTGTACAGTTCCAGATTGATTTTTTTAAAATCAGCTTTGAAAAAACAAAATCCAGACTCGTATCAACATCCTAATCTGGAGAAAAGGGTTCTTCTGAGGACAGATAGTGGGACCAGCTCACACAAAGTGGGGACACACCACTTTGTGTGAGCTGAAGACACATCTTTGGCCTTAGAAGTAACGCTCACTAACTACTGTTGGTAGTAAGTTACATAGCTGGACATGCCGACTATTGCAGTTTACATTAAAGCCGATAAACACTGTTGAGGGAAGAAGACATCGAGCTGTCATCCACTGTGCAGGCTGTTAACTAATTAGTCTGAATTTGAATATGTGTAATTTAGTGTTTCATGACGGTCGAAACGCTTTCAGAGGCGTTTCAAAAGTGACAATGAAACTTTGATTCAATCACATAAAACTGAATAAAGTATTATTTATCAGTGACTTCATCCTGAAAGCAGCTCTACCATTTGGGTTTTGAAACTCTCTCTCTTAGACTAAGCAGTGACTGTGTAGTGCAGAGTGGGTTCAGTAAAACCAGGGACTTGCGATGTATGTGTACTGAGCCGTGGACTCTGGAGGTGTTGGTGCCGTGCAGGCGGTGCTGTACCGGGGTCATCCCACAGCTCTGACTCTGTGGGCGGAGGCATCTCACTAAGGTCACAGCGTTGGACCCAAGCGGGGTACTTTAGGTCCGGCACGCTGGTGATCCCAGAGCAGTCCATGTCAGGCCTGTTACTGGTGAACCAGCGAGGGAGGTGGAGGGACGGAGACGCCCACTCTGACCTTGCTGCTCTGTGTGCAGACTGCTGCAGACAGAAACAGGGAAGAAAGACATTCACTACAGTCCTACTCAGAATCAAATCCAGAAGCACAAATAAAAATGTCAATGATGAACAAGGAGATGCTCTTATGACTGCTGGTGACTAGTAGTTCTCTTGAATAGCTATGTTGAATACACTTATTGTAAGTCGCTTTGGATAAAAGCGTCTGCTAAATGACTGTAATGTAATGTAGTCACCCTATGGCAGCTGGCTGAGGAGACGTCCACATGTGGATTCAACATGGCTGCCCCTGGTCTCTCTCTGTACCTGGAGAGAGGAAAGTAAAGAAAGGTCAGATGTGAGGTCGACCTTTGACAGGACAGAACAGATATCTTTCAGCAAACATCACAAATGAGATGGATTAGTGGCAGCAGCTTGAACCTGGAGCTCCTGGGCATCCTGGTTGGATGAAGGTGGTGGTGGTTCAGCTGGGGGGCACCATGGCTGCTGCTGAGTCTGTCCCAGGTTCTGTGTGCTGGTCTGGAGGAGGAAAAGGGGGGCTCTGAGGGTCCAGACTGGGACAGGAAACCTGGATCAGCACACGAGACGCGTCAGAAGAACCGAGACATGCAGACGGACACAAAAACTCCAACTAATCAATTTATTCTGTCAACCCATTTACCATTTAACTAAACAATATCTGAAATACAGACAAATGCCTCATCCCAGAATGAGGCATTTGAAGACATTTGATGAAGCTGTGGGCGATGCCTTTAAAGAAACTGCTGGTGTGGGCGGTGTTGAGGGTGATGCGTTTAGAGACCTTGGATGAAGGCGGAGGTGTGAGTGACAGGCATCGAGCCGTCGTAAGGGATGGACAGCAGCTCGTCCGTCGTCATGGAGAGTCTGTCTCGGTTGCCGCGGTGATGGAGAGAGCTGACGGGGAGGTTCAGGAAGTCCAGCTCCCTGTCGGTCAAACGCTCCCTGAGAACTATGAGACGAAAAACAAACGCATAAAGACAACTGATACAAACGGTCCTGAAACAAATGCGTTTCCCTGATGAACGTGGTGACCTACCATCTTTGTTTCTGAGCTCGCTCACTCTGGGTCTGCTCAGCGTGGAGGGCAAACTGTGAGGCAGAAGAAGCCTTCCGGTCAACGACGCGCTGTCCTGCCGACTCCTCTCAAAGTCTGTGATGTAGGCGTCCAACGCCGCTGAGGCCGAGTAATAGTTCTGCAATCAATAAGCATGAGTGATGGATTTTAGTAAGCCCAGCCACAGGAAAATCTTTTCAGCAAACAGCTTGTCTTGAGTTTTATTACCGACATCAGAGAGACTATTGACGGGCTTTTACTGTGAAAAGGCTGGAGGGCTTTTAATTTGAAGCACTGAGATCATTCAGAAATGAACAGACATTTAATGGTAACACCCTCCTTTGAGCTTTGAAATGCTAATTTTCTGTATTTAAAACCCTGTGCAGAACGTCCATCTAGAATCTATTGTTTGAACTCTGAGGAATTAACCTCCAAGTTGGCTCAGTTAACAGGACAGAGGATACAGACGGGCAGACTTCCTCCACAGTGCCTCATTACTATTGTAAGAGTAGAAGCAGAGCGAACCTGGTCTCTGTATCTGAAGGTGGTGTTGTGTTCAGGAGCCAGCAGGCTGCTCCTCAGGTGACCTGAGCTGGACAGCAGGGAGGTCACCGTGGACTCAGGAGACAGACAGTCACCCACCAAGCCGCTGGCCTCCATGCTGACAAAAACAACAAAAGCACATTCTGATGTTGTAAATCATCAAATCACAAAGAAAAGAAGATGCTGTGATGCTGGAGAGGAATGTTCAAGATGGTGTGTTTGAAATCAAAATCCATGGGTGGCTGTAAATATCCCTTATCCCCACAAGCAGCCCTTAGAAATAAAACTACAGAGTAGTGATCCTATCAATAGGTCGATGGGGTCACAACTTCCGGAGAACAGCTAACAAACTTTGCGATCCTACAACCGGCATTCCAAATCTGGTCAGACAGAAATTATGACACACAGAGATCTTAACCTCAGCGAGTTAAAAATGAACTGACAATAACTCAGAACAGAGTCAGTGTGTTGTCAAGTCACTGTGGTCCGAAAGCTCGTCTTGCCTTAAAAAATGTTGACAGCCTCGAGCTCATATTGTTTTAGTATTAGAAAAACTGGCGGACGTTAGCTTGCTAACTTGGCTTTAGCCTAGCAAACAGCTCACGATAGATAACAGCTGAACAACATGCAAAACACAAACACATTACATCCATGAAATAGTAGGGGTGTTATGTCACGGTGGGTCAGTGCTGCTAAACGACTCTACAGTGTGTGAGACCGTTCAGTGTGTTGGAACTCACAAATGGCCATAGAAATAGCATTTATATACAACTGACATTACAATTAAACTTAGCAGCACTTAAACATGAATACGAATCCAAACGTAGTAATTAAATCCATGCTTCTGCATCAAAGGAACATATTACACTTACATCTTAACCCCAAAATAGTTCCCTTATATTTCGTGTCCAGACCTTTGCGTACAGTAAGTGACCAATGTTGACAACTTAAGATTCAAGGCTCGCGGGTAAAGCTATCTCAGTTAGCTTAGCTGGTCTGGAATCAGTTTAGTTCCGATGGCTTCCGCCCAGGGAAGTTACGACCAAACACCGTAAAAAAAAAAGCTGGCAATTAACTCTATTCATAGTCATCAGCGGAGACACCCACGGCTGGTACAGCAAGCATTCACGTTACATTTTACGGTCTTTCGGAGACCTTCGGAAACTTTCGAAGCATCCAGAGCTCAACTTTACCAACCCGGCTGCTGCTGTAAACTAACGCTACCGCCCCCTATAGGTTGGAGCTAGCTTTAGTCTGTTCACGAGTGGAACCGACGGTCCTGTGGAAGTCTTTTTGCTGTATGAGACTCATGCGGAATTAAAGGATGCACTCTCCCGGATTAGGACAATAATATAATTAATGTTAGGTCCAGAGGTTTTTAAACTGTCAATAGATCCATAGGCTGTAGTCTACTATGCCATTGACACCCGACCCTTTTCTTGTAGCCTGTGTATGTATATAGAGTCACTTACTACATATAACTATGTATATTGAGCACTGCTTTTCTATATGAACTCCAAACAATCATTTTGTACTTATTTTTATCACATTAGGTTACATTTAGCTGATGATAGTTTATTTTTCTTGAGAACAACTTTGAATACTTTTACTTGTCATGGAGGACTTTTACACTGTTATTTCTCCATTTAGTTTATGTAAGAAAAGGCATTCCTCTTCAACTGTAAATCAAAACACAGGACAGCTGGGACACAGAGTTATTTCCCAGAACCTGTGAAAACATGGTGACACTACATATTGTTTTCCAAGTGTTCATCTTCTTTTTTGAGGTTTTGGCAGCTTGCATCATTAATGTTGCATTACTGCCTCCTCCTAGTTATGTTCTACTTCACAGTCCTTTTTTAAAGTTGTGTAATAAGTCCAGTAGCCACTCTTACACTGATTTCTACATGCCCTGTTTCAGGCTATATTGGCTATTTTCTGCGCGTTACCATGCTCCTGACACTGATCACAGTGACCTGTGGGATGTTAAATGTAACATTTTGGTCGCTTAAAAAATGTCTGATTAGGCATTGGGTTGTTCTTAGCTCCACCCTGTCGTGTCCCTTCCGGTTGCAAAAAAAACTAAGATGGCGAACTCGAGTCTTCAAAACCAATGAGTGACATCACATTGACACTTCTTATGGGCAGTCTATGATTCTACATCCTTAATCTGTTTTTCTGTGCTGCCTCTGCATAAGAGACCTTTTCCTTCCCTCTTATCTGGTCCACCTCCACCTCTCATCTTTACACTTCACAGTCCTCAATAAGCAACACTGTGATATGTGATTTGCATACGACAGCTACATTGCACAAATGCATTGCAATTAAAAACCCTTCAGGCTTTTCTATGTATACTCTCTCACCCTGTATTTCACCAATCCAAAATGTAGCTCCTTTGGGAGAACCTCTGCCCCCCCCCCCCCACCCTTACTACTTTAACTAGATGTGCCGTCTCTGCACTTCAGTATAACAAGCAAGTTTCCATCCCCAAACTCATAAATATCACTTCTCCAACTTGCCATCTAATGATTTTTTGTCAGTTTTAGCGGAACCACTTTCCTCTCTCCATAATTCTTACCACTACATTGGACAATCTTTCGCCTCACTCTCTGTGCCACCTTCGTTAACTGCGTTCTTTTCTTTTTCTTGGCTATTGTCCTCATCAATCTACTCCGTCTCACTACCTCTTCCGGCTCCCTCTTCCTCCTCTCATCACTACAGTTTCCCTCCTCTCATCACTACAGTTTCCCTCCTCTCATCACCACAGTTTCCCTCCTCTCATCACCAGTTTCCCTCCTCTCATCAATACAGTTTCCATCCTCTCATCACCACAGTTTCCCTCCTCTCATCACCACAGCTTCCCTCCTCTCATCACTGCAGTCTCCCTCCTCTCATCACCAGTTTCCATCCTCTCATCACCACAGTTTCCCTCCTCTCATCACCACAGCTTCCCTCCTCTCATCACCACAGCTTCCCTCCTCTCATCACCACAGTTTCCCTCCTCTCATCACCACAGCTTCCCTCCTCTCATCACCACAGCTTCTCTCCTCTCATCACTGCAGTCTCCCTCCTCTCATCACCAGTTTCCATCCTCTCATCACCAGTTTCCATCCTCTCATCACCACAGCTTCCCTCCTCTCATCACTACAGTTTCCCTCCTCTCATCACCAGTTTCCCTCCTCTCATCGCTTCCGTTTCCCTCCTCTCATCACCAGTTTCCCTCCTCTCATCACCACAGTTTCCCTCATCTCATCACTTCAGTTTCCCTCCTCTCATCGCTTCAGTTTCCCTCCTCTCATCTCTACAGTTTCCCTCCTCTCATCGCTTCAGTTTCCCTCCTCTCATCTCTACAGTTTCCCTCCTCTCATCTCTACAGTTTCCCTCCTCTTATCAGTTTCCCTCTTCCTCACTAGAATCCATGGTGTTGCTCACCATCTGTCTCCCTCCCTGCCATACTGTCAGACCTACAGTGGTTGATATCCCTGTACCCAATGTTCCTCAGTACCCTGTCCTATAACTATTAAGTCCCTGTGTCCATGTCAAAGTCAAAGTTGTTTAATCAAAGTCAAAAACCAGCTCAGCAACAGAAAACAATTCAAAACTTCCGGCACAATGTCCACTTCCACGATCCATGGTCCCTCCCTCCAGTGTTCTTGGTTGCATCAGGCCCCTTTAGAGCCTGTGAGAGGGGGGATTGAAACAGAGAGGTGTGGGGGGGAGAACGTAGGGAGGTCTCACTCCGCCCGGTAACACAACAGACACTGTCACAAGGAGTTCTCCCATCAGAGCAGCCTCGCCATGAAAAGCAGCGATAGGCTACATGTCCATGTACCTCAAATTTGTTGTACTGTATTGATTAAATCATTCATCATTTATATATTCTTTTTAATAAATGGCCAGTTTCAGAATCAGCAATGTTACACATACAAGGAATTCAGCTAGATGATGGGTGCGTAACAGTAAACAAAGTGCAATCGTATAAATCATAATTTAAATATAGAAAATAGGAACATTTACAGTAAAATATGGTAAACAAATAAGTGTACGTTAAAAAAATATATTGTTAAAGTGTCATGTGTATGTTAATACAGAAAATAATGTTCAAGGGTGTGTAACAATAACAAATTGTCCTGGGGATGTAAGTGTCAGAGTCAGCGGGGGTCCCAGGCTTTATTGATTAACCCAACTGCAAAAGGGCAGGAATTGTTTTTGTGGCATGAGGTCTTGGTCCTGTTGGACCGCAGCCTCTTGACAGAGGGAAGGGACTCACAGAGTTTGTGTCCATGGTGAGAGGTGTCGGCTACAATCATTCTTGCCCGTCTCAGGGTTCTGGAGGCGAACAAGTCGTGGAGGGACGGCAGATTGCAGCCAATCCCCCTCTCAGCAGAGCGAATGATATGCTGACGGGGATGGAGGAGGAGAGGATGGACTCAATGATGGCAGTGTAGAAGTGCACCATCATTGTCTTTGGCAGGTTGAACTGCCTTTGTGATGGAGCTGATGTTAAGCTCCCAATTAACTCCGATTTAGCACTCATCCTCACCAGAGATGAGTCCAATGAGGGTGGTGTCATCCGTGAACTTCAGGAGCTTGATGGACTGGTGACTGAAGGTGCAGCTGCTGGTATACAGGGAGAAGAGCAGATGGGAAAAAATGCAGCCTGAGGGGGAACCGGTGCTGATGGTCCGAGAGACTGAGACATGTTTCCCCAGCTTCACATGCTGCTTCTTGTCAGACAGGATGTGTGATCCACTTGCAGGTGGAGTCAGGCACCCTGCAGCGGGGAGAGCTTGTCCTGCTGCAGAGATGGCATGATGGTGTTGATGGCAGAGCTGAAGTTCACAAACAGTATCCTGGCGTAGGTTCCTGGGGAGTCCAGATGCTGGAGGATGAAGTGGAGGGCCATATTGATTGCATCGTCTACAGACCTGTTGGCTCTGTAGGCGAACTGCAGGGGGTCCAGGAGTGGGTCGCTGAGGGTTATGAGGTGGGACAGGCCAAGGTGCTCAAAAGACTTCATGACCACAGAGTTTAGGGTGACGGGTAGTCATTAAGTTCTGGAATCCTTGATTTTTTTGAGGGATGGGGATGATGGTGGAGGCCTCGAAGTAGGCTGGTACGTGGTATGTCTCCAGTGAGGTGTTGAAGATGTCTGTGAACACCGGAGACAGCTGATCAGTCTGGGCCAGCTGCTTTGCAGGGTTCTGACATTTAAACAGCCTGTTGACGTCTCTCTCCAGAATAGAGAGAGTCATCATTGTGGTGGGGGCTGGGGGGGCTCTGGGATGGGTGGTTGTGAGGCATGGGCCCCTGCTGAGCTGGGGGAAGGGGGACCTGGTGGTCTGGAGCTGGTGGATTGGTGGATGGGGTCATGGGGGATGGGGTCGGGACGGTCCCATTGTCATTCAAAGCAACACTAAAACACGTCCAGCTCGTTTGCCAGGCGAAGGTAATTCTTGGAATGGGGGCTTTAGGCTTGTAGTTGATCTGTCTGAAGATCACTTGCTAAGAGCTGGTGTTACAGTTTCTCAGAGTACTTTTCGTCACAGCCTCAGTGTCCTCATCCAGAGTGTTGTTGGCAGTCCTGAAAACATCCCATCTGTGCAGTCCAAGCACGCCCGAAGATCCTCCATCACTGGTCCACTGCTTTGATTGTCTTACTGAGCTTTAATTTCTGCCTGTATGCAGGAATCAGATGGACCAAGACGTGGTCAGTGTCCCAGTGCAGCACGAGGGACGATGTGATAGGTCTCGCTTATTGTGGCGTAACAGTGGCCTAAAATGTTCTCCTCTCTGGTTGAACATTTATTAAACTGTATGTATGAGGACTTCTTTGTTAAAGTTACCAAGGACAATAACTAAAGAGTCTGGGTTGGTCTGCTCCACACACAGTATCTGCTCGGTGAGCGTCCGCTGTACCTCCTGTGCATTAGCCTCTGGTGGAATGTACCGACCAGCATGAATGAAGCGAACTCACAGGGGGAGAAAAGGGTGAACCACAAACCGGAGGATGAAGAAAAGTGTCTGTTTTTCCCCAGTAGCTGAAGTTCGTCCAGTTTGTTACACAGTGAGCAAACCTTGGAAAGAAATATCCCCTGCAGCGGTGTACAAAATCCATGTTGGCAGAGATGCACAAGCGCAACGGCTCGTTTTCCTCTCCTATGGAGTTTCACTGCACGGGTAAAGGTGAGCACACCTTTAACTGGAATCTCCAGTAATTACACGGATGTTTACATTCATTATTTAACTTTATATGACTTTTTTATCAGTTCAACTTCTTTTTTGTTTTAAGAATTTTCTTCTTATGTTACTAACAGTATTTGGTGAAAAAAACCAGTAAGTGGAGACCATATACTGTTCCTAAGAGCCCTTTGTGAAGCTCAAAGTGGGTGGCTCCTACACAGACTAACTCATGACTAAATCCAAAAATGGGCAAAGAGTTGGATCCGCTGGTTGACCCAGCAGAGCAGACAGCTAGCAGCTAGCAACCTGAGACAGCCTCACCTGTCACTCAAAGCGGCCACGCCCTTAATTATGCCTTACTTTAAGCCTTAAAATAATCTACAGTTGTCAGACAGTGTCCCGGTGACATTATCTATAGAGCCCAGAATGTAAACATGATTATTATTATCTGCAGTAAAGTTGGGAATTTTAACATGGCGGTCTATGGGGATTGGGTCACTCGCCAGCCTCAAGTGGCCATTTGAAGAACTGCAGTTTTTGGCATTTCCATGTCAGCTTTTCTCAGGACCAGAGCTTTCCACTTTGGTCAAGACCATAGACTGTATATAAAATAGTGGATGTAGTCATTGTGATATCACCCATTGGTTTGTGGAGCACCATCTTGAAGCTTCGAGTTTGGAGATTTTGCCGTCGCCCTCTTGGATTACTGCCATCGCCATGTTATTTTTTATGCAGTCAATGAACGGAAGTTGACATATTCGGAATCTGGAGGAGTGACGTGTACGGCTCTGGTAGCGGCAGCAACCTTTCAATCACAGTAGTCCCGCCCTAAAGCATACTCTGCTTTATGGTCTATTTGACTCTAAATGGACCATAATTTACAAAATGAACATCATGCTGTATTGAAGAAGACTTGAAACTAGAGATGGAGACCATAAACTCATGTTTACAATGTTTACTGAGGTAATAAATCAAGAGAGAAGTAGAGCCATTTTCTCATAGACTTCTATACAATCAGACTTCTTTTGCAACCGGAGGAGTCGCCCCCTGATGGTCAGTAGAGAGAATGCAGGTTTAAGGCACTTCAGCATCGGCTTCACTCTGCAGAACCGGAGGTTGCTGCCTGGTCAACACATGCATGTCCAAGTGTGAAGTATTTCAAAGATAAGAGCAACATATTATCTTGCTCTTAAAAATAACATATAATTGTTGTAGTCTACTCTGTTTATGTGGGCTATTTATTTATATTTGCAATTCGTTTTTTATCAATTTTATAGAATTTTTTAAATTTCGAATTTCATATAAACCAATTTAATAACAACATAGCCTATCATTGGTTGACTTATGATTTTAAGATAAACGGGGAAACAAATGCTACACACTGGCCCTTTAATGGGTAGTTCTTTTCCCACTGAGTCATTCATTTGTCTCAATAGACGATCTCTGAGAGCGCGCCTATATGTGTGTGTGTGTGTGTGTGTGCGTGTGTGTGTGTGTGTGTGATCTCGCAGACGTCACAGCCTGCCGTTGGTCCAGTTCAGTTCAGATCATCGGTTGGTTCCCTCCGGAGGTAGCAGTTGGGCTAAATAGAACTAAATCCGGAGCTGAAGACAGTTTAACCCGAGACACCCAGCTCACGCTCTGAACCGGGACACTTTTTTATTTGTCCTTAACCCGAAATAAGCAGCATAAACAGCCGGGGCGGAGGGAGGGAGAGCCGCCGTTAACGTAACGCCCGTGACGTCGGTCCGCCCGGGCGGCTGCTCCCGCTAGGGGTTTACAACCACGCTGCTCGTCTGGAGGGTCCCTTTATCGGTGTGTACCGAGCGATCGATCGGTCCGATCGGAGCGCAACCGCGGGATAGATAAGTGCGCGATGATGGAGAAGAAGAGGTCGGACTGCCCCGCTCTGCCTCCCGGCTGGAAGAAAGAAGAAGTGATCAGGAAGTCCGGACTGAGCGCTGGAAAGAGCGACGTCTACTACTACAGGTAGCCAACTCATCGATCAGCCACCGATCGGTGGCGGTAAACCGGCGATCGATCGGTTGACCCCCGCGATTAATGGTCCTAACTCTTGACTGTCAGCGTCGGTTGTGAACGCGCGATACGTGCGCCGACACAAGTTGATCAGAAAGTGTGAGATGACATAGTTGCTGTCAGAGAGGAGTTACAATGTAGCGCTCATTATGACACGTTCCTGTTCCTGTTACTCTATAACATTCAATACATATTTAAATACTATTCCTGTGCGGTGTTTGAACACACTGGCGGTTAGATTTGAACTACTAAAGTCATGAGTCCCACCAAAAAAATAATGGATTGGATTTTTCACTTTTGATTTGAGTGTTTATTAAGGCCATAGTAAGTTTCATTTTACATCATAAGTCACTTATTTCTTTATTGGCCCTAAAAGTGAGCTGAGAGTGGTAGATGAGCTGGCTAATGATCTGATACATAAGTGTCATGTAAAAATCCCTGGTATTCCTCCGCTGATCTATTGATCATATGCCACTTATGGCTATATTTATGATGCACTATATTTATGATGCACCACTCTTGTTCCAGTGTCATGTGTTGGTTTTTTTAAGAACGTATGCCCCCTTTGACTTTTGATATCTCGCCTCTATTTGTACAGACCGCTCTGCTGAATGCCACGTACAAGATAAATAAAATATCAATCAAAAATCAAATGGTTGCTAATCTAGTGGGGCTGTTTAACTATAATGTGCTAAATGATTAGATGGACTATCGATGGAATCAACAAATTGTTTCATAGTAATCGATTGTATTGATAGCAACTCCTGCTGTTTTGTTAAAGGAGTAAGTCAACAATTAGCATTGTGAGTGGCGGACTCTGCCACCTATGATGAGAACTACTTTATAGAGAGTTTATTACAGAATACTAATACATGTAGGTTATTGCATAGCACAAGCATTATAGCTTTACTACAGCTGAAGTATTAAATTAAAGTAATTCACTTTTCTTTTTTGGTATTATTACTACTATAAATATTCTGATTCTGAATACATTAGGCCCTTTAGCTAGCGGGGCTAGCCCTGTAAAAGTGAAAGTATGTACCAGACTTCCTCAGCGACTGATGGAAGTAACACCATTGGTCGGTCGAGTGTTGGGAGTTTCCCCATTGGCTGTTCCTATTTCAAAATGAAGAGACACAAACAGTCCTCAACTACGTCCTTTAGGATGCTTTGACAGTCATAGTGCTCAATTATTCACTCAGATGTAGCGTAACCATGATATGCTACTTCAGTACACTTTTTTTTTTGAAGAAGATTTCATTGTTGGGAGCGAGGTGTTGATTTAACTGTATGGTCGTTTCAGAGTCTGTAGTTTATGTCACGGTATGGTGTTATGTCTTTCTATTATTTTGTCCACCCTATTTATAGCATTATTTTTCTTGTTTTTAAGCAAAAAATATCACGATATGGTATATGAAAAGATTGCATTTAGCAATGTAAGCAAACCTTAATGTCACTTGCAATCCGTATTACAAACAGTCAGGATATCTCAGCCCCTCCTGCCGAAATTCTGACCTTTTTTTTTTTTTGTCAATCAATCTCTCTCTCACAAGTCCCCCAACTCTATGGAAGCGCAATCCAAAAAAAGAAAAGAAAATCAGTAATGAGTAAGTTGCTGCATCAGCTCTGTTTCGTCCTTCACGCACTTTTCCTGCACATTACATTTCGCCCGACAACACCAACAATGAGTGCATTCAGATGATCAAGAGCCTGTCCCTGTGTTCCTCCGCCTCCATCCCCATCACATTTAAGCTCAACTCTTCTTCTAAAGTGAACCCAAGTTCAGTCTGAGGTTGTTACATTTTCCCGTTTCCGTAGCTTCACCAGCTACAGCTGCACAAGATGGCAGAGGAAATGATGTCTCTCCTACAGTGCAGGTCTGTGGTTAGGCCGTGACGCCCGCGCAGCCGTCGGCAGCTCACTTCCTGTTTATCGGCGGGCTCCGTCACACCCTGAAGCCTTTAACGCAGAGGAGATCTGCCGTCCGGAGCTGAGGCCTGCCTTTGCTTTCAGTTTAATGTGTGACGTGACTCATCGGTTCCAGTTAGGAAACCAGTCAGCAGGTCGTGTTACTGGAAGAGCAGTAACAGCCTGCTGGGGCCTCTGATGGCTCCATCTCTACAAACCCATGCTGCTTAACAGGAAATTATTTAGAACCCACGTTTTATTTTTAGTTCTTTCACATTAGAATACTCGGGTATATTGTCTGTTTTGACTATTTCGCTCCGTTATAGCGGCCTAAAGCTTCTGTAAAGAGCTGTAGCAAGATGAAACACAATATCTGTGATACTGTCAGACACACACACACACACACACACACACACACACACACACACGCACACACACACACACACACACAGCTTCTGATCTCTACTTTGTTGCTGCTGACCTACATGTCAGACGCAGCTGAGTGACTGTGTGTTTGCTCTTGTACTTCAGTCTATGTGAGGACCAATTACCCTTTAGGACCTTTCAGGACGTTTTGGGAAAGTGAGGACATTTTTTGAAAGAGGGGGGGGGGATTGTTTGATCGATTAATTCGCACTTCAATATATTTATTCAAACTGATGTTTTTGTCATGAATACTTTCACACAAAATGCGAACATTACGTGGTGAAAAAGCCATGTTATATATATATATTTTTGAACATGGACAATTGTCTGAGCTTTTACATTGTGAATAAAGGCATTAACCAATCAAGTTGTGTGGAGTTGAGTTGCGCCTATATTTATAAAACAACAAAAACAAGACTCCGTAGTCGGAACCAAAATGACGAAGTTCGAAACATATATCATTCGCAAGTATTTTGCATTTTTGTGTCGGTTATTTATCATGCCCCTGGTGTGTAAAAGCCTTTTAAGGTTTAGTTTTAGAGTTAAGGTTAGAATAAGACTGAGGTTGAGGTTAGAGGCGAGGGGATTCATTATGTCAATGAGGGCCCTCACAGTTCCTGCAGGGGTCAGATGTTATGTCATAACTGACAGTACGCTGAGTGATTCTGAGCTTTCCTTTTGATACTGTACTAAGTTTACATATATATAAAGAGGTGCTGGTAAACAAATGTTATTGTTGTACAGATCCAGGTTAGCTGGTGGAGCATGAACGTCTGGGTGGTTGGATAGTACTTGACTAAATGTGACACACGGACTGATGAGAACGCAGATTGAGAAAGGCCTAACGTCTTGAGCTGCGTTTGGGTGCCGTGGGACGCATTTCTATGGTCGCACCATCACACAAGTGAAGATGGCAGCTGCCGTCATTGATAATGAGGAACGTAAATTCCATGCTGGATGAAGAGTAAAGCTGATGATTTGATAATAAAATGAGACTGTAGAGATTTCGACAGTTCAGTTTGGTCTGTGTGAAACATGAATTCCAGATACCTCTCTCACTGATAATACGACAACTCCAAAGACACTTCTCTAATTCAGTCTCAAATTCAAGCTCCACTTTTGTTCTGACTAGTCACAATGCCAGTTAGATGACTTTAATTCCTGACAATTAAAATAATGCAAATTATCCTTTTTGGATATCCAACACTAAGATATTGATATCTTTAATCACACGATCTTTCTGTCTGACTCTCTCCTCCTTCCCTCATTTCTTCCTTCTTTCAGTCCTTCAGGAAAGAAGTTCCGGAGTAAGCCTCAGTTGTCCCGTTACCTTGGAAACAAAGTGGATCTGGGATGTTTCGACTTCCGGACGGGGAAGATGATGCCCGGAAAACTGCAGAAGAACAAACAGAGACTCCGACATGACCCGCTCAGCTTGGCCAAGGTAACACTGATGAATCACTGTGGGGGAGGTGGCTGTGGTTGTGTTGTCAGATTATCAGATTAACAGTTTGTCCTGCAACAGTTGACAGTCCAGCAAGTCAGTTGACAAGCACTCATCACTTCCTCACCACAGAGGAAGAGTGTGACGTGTGGGTGAAATCCACTAACTGCTGAACTTTCTGTCTGTCCACTTCTCTCATCATTCATGTGACAGTACCAGGGCTGTAGTACTCAAATCCAGTCTATGATCTCTGACTTGTCTCGGTCTCGTGGGTGTTTTGACTCTGACCTGTTTAGGTCTCGTGGGTGTTTTGACT